TCTCAGAACATTTCATGTGAACTCTCAGAGCTGTACGAGCAAATGAACATGAATCATATTGTCTAAAACTAATCCAGACATGCCATTGTACTGCAGCCTCAGAGGATGCTGGCATGTAACAGGGGTAAATCAGATAAATCAAACAGAAAAAATCAGGGGGATAAATATTTTATTTAGCTTTAATTTCTTTGACACATCCTTCCTAGACTTCAACAGTAGTAACTGGCTTTTTCAAAATTGATAATCAGCATATTAGAATGATTTCTGAAGGATCATGTGACACAGAAGAGTGCAGTAATGGCTGCTGAAAACTCAGCTCTGCCATCACAGGAATAAATCAAACTTGAAAATATATTAATATAGATGTTATTTTAAAGGGGTCATCGGATGCCCATTTTCCACAAGTTGATATGATTCTTTAGGGTCTTAATGAAAAGTCCATTCAGACACATAAAGCAAAAGATCCTTCAGATTTGTATCAAAACGTATTGCCATTAATATAATTGAAACATATACATATTCAAATAGTAAACAGTTTTGAACTGTGGTGCTGAAAAGTCTGGCCTGCTTCATGTCCCAGTTTCTCCTCTTTACCTCCTCTTACACTAACGTTCAAAAGTTTGGGGTCGGTAAGATAAAAATACAGTAAAACAATTACATTATCTGTTTTCTATTGTAATATATTTTAAAATGTAATTAATTCCTGTGATGGTAAAGCTGAATTTTCAGCATCATTACTCCAGTCTTCAGTGTCACATGATCCTTCAGAAATCATTCTAATATGCTGATTTGCTGCACAAGAAACATTTTGTTGTAAACAGTTGTGCCGCTTAATATTTTTGTGGAATATTTTTTTCAGGATTCTTTGATGAATATAAAGTTCAAAAGAACAGCATTTAACTGAAATATAAACAGTACAAATGTCTGTACTGTCACTTTTAATCAATTTAACGCATTCCTGCTGAATAAATGTATTAAAGTAATTTCTTTAAAAACAATCTTACCCCAAATCTTTGAATGGTAGTGTACGGCAGTGTCTTTAAACTGTCCTATATACTAAAGGCAAAAAATAAATAAAAAGTTCATAGTTTCTATAAATATTATTAAGCATATTTCATGCTAATAATATATAGCATGAAACACTTTGTAATGGATTCATATCTTGCCTAACAGTAATTATTTATTATAGTCATGCACCTGATTTGTTCTCTGGCAACAATACAGTCCATATGTCAATTCATCCATATGGAACCCTGTAAATGCTCAAATACATAACAGAAAGGGGAACAAATAAAAATAATATTAATAAATTAAATGTGTTAATGTCTCTAAAAGATGATAATATAATTTATAAATAAATAAATAAATAAAAACTTGTAATAAATTGTAAAACATATTGTAATAAAAACTGGGGGGGGGGAAATAGAAGTCGCTATAGTAATCTCAGATTTTTCTTCTTTTTCTAAGATGCTATAGCAAACAGTTCCTCAAAACATCAGGGAAGAATTTGTCTTCTTGGTCTTACAATCCTCGAAAGTTCCAGCTCTATGAGACGAGCCAGAAAAAAAAAATAAATCACCAGAAAATCTGCAAGCAAACCATAAGAAACTGAAGAACGTCAAGAATGGAACAAAACCCTGCCGTAAACTTCATCTACACCGGCACCACATGCATTTCACATGGTGCAGCTCCGCCAGACGAAAACCAGTGAAACCTCTCTCATGCATAAGTATGGCGAGCGCTTACTTGACTGTTTTACAGCTGTCCCTGGTTAGCGGTTTTCTCAGAACATTTCATGTGAACTCTCAGAGCTGTACGAGCAAATGAACATGAATCATATTGTCTAAAACTAATCCAGACATGCCATTGTACTGCAGCCTCAGAGGATGCTGGCATGTAACAGGGGTAAATCAGATAAATCAAACAGAAAAAATCAGGGGGATAAATATTTTATTTAGCTTTAATTTCTTTGACACATCCTTCCTAGACTTCAACAGTAGTAACTGGCTTTTTCAAAATTGATAATCAGCATATTAGAATGATTTCTGAAGGATCATGTGACACAGAAGAGTGCAGTAATGGCTGCTGAAAACTCAGCTCTGCCATCGCAGGAATAAATCAAACTTGAAAATATATTAATATAGATGTTATTTTAAAGGGGTCATCGGATGCCCATTTTCCACAAGTTGATATGATTCTTTAGGGTCTTAATGAAAAGTCTATAACATACTTTGGTCAAAATGTCTCAATGGTAGTGTAAAAAAACTCCCTTTTTACCCTGTCAAAATCAGCTGTTTTCAGCAAGCTGTTTTTTAGTCCATGTTGCTTTAAATGCTAATGAGCTCTGCTGACCACGCCCCTCTCTTCCATGGGGCAGACTGTAAACTTCAGCGCGAAACTGGCTAACTAGCACATTATTAGGAAAGGCGATTTGCAAAGATTCTTAAACTCTTATACTCACTTCTTCTGTAGATGAAGCTGGATCACGAATGATTCGCACGAACATAGACGCATTTAGGTAGATCGGGATCGGCGCATTCCCTTCAAAAACGAAAGAAACGTTAATACTCTGCTTCTTCAGCGGCTGAGATGTCGGGAGTAAATGACGACTGCTTTATTCATTATTACATCCAACAACAAAACACCTCAATCGCTTAATCGGACACATTCTTGTCTTCCCCCGCACCTGTCGACACAATGGTGGACAGCACCAGTGTTGCCAGATTGGTTAGTCAATTTCCAGCCCAAAAGCTCACAAAAACCCGCCCAAAACTTTAACTGTCAAAATAATGTGATGGAATGTGTAAATCAAGGTTGATAAGGGACATTTTTAACTCCTTAAAACAAAATGATGATGACAAAATAATATAAATATAACGTTAGATAAATTTCCCAGGTAAACGGATCGAATCGGGGCAAATAGCCTACATTAAAGAGAATTTAGCATCCGATGACCCCTTTAAATAGTAATAATATTTCATAATATTACCTTTTTACTATATTTTTTATTTAAATAAATGCAGCCTTTGTTAACATTAGAGATTTCTTTGAAAAACAAACTAAAAAAATCTTACCGACCCCAAACCTTTGAATGGTAGCGTTTGTGTAATTGACCTTGCTATGGACATCATCCAAAAATACTGATATGGTCAATTCCCCTTTGTCCATGTAATCATAGTCAAAAGGATAAAGTATAAACCTGATCCTCTCACTCTTGTTCCATCTTAAGTCTTTCCAGAAATGTCCATGACATGTTGCTGAACACCTGAAAGGTTAATCCATCTCAGTCAAAACCTCAGACTTCAAACAGAGATATGCTCTTGGTACCCCACTGGCAGCTAAAAATCCAACGCACTCACCTTCAGATGTGCAGAAATGTGGAACGAATTAAACAGCTAAAAAATAGAGTTTGGTTAAACGAGAAGGTAGAACTAAAATTGTAGAAATAACTCGACACGCCAAGATTAATTAAACAATGTCAAGTTAGAAAAAATTGGGGTTGTCGGCCATTCATGCCATGGAAAATAAAATGGCAAGAACAAGCTCCTGATTGGTCTGCCTGTAGAAGCCTTCACTTTGAGCCAACACTCAGACATAGGAAGTCACTTTAACAACCCACCACAATTATCACATGCTCACTGGAGACAGAAACTTTGTTTGTTTGAATGAATGAAGCACCAAAGAAGTTGTTTTAATTTTTCACTAGAACTAAAATTGTAGAAATAACTCGACACGCCAAGATTGATTAAACAATGTCAAGTTAGAAAAAATTGGGGTTGTCGGCCATTCATGCCATGGAAACTAAAATGGCAAGAACAAGCTCCTGATTGGTCTGCCTGTAGAAGCCTTCACTTTGAGCCAACACTCAGACATAGGAAGTCACTTTAACAACCCACCACAATTATCACATGCTCACTGGAGAGGAAGCACAGGGCCATAATCAATTAGCAATCCGCGGTGAGCACAGGATAAAGAGTCAAGACGCAAATTTGGGGGCTCGTCCGGGATCATGTTTATGCTAAACTGGGGTTAAGCTACAAAAACAGCGAAATTTATGAAATGTGGTCACCAGGGCCTTCCCAGTTGAGTAGGTGTAAAGACGGCCCACAGAACAAATTGGAGAGCTCATGATCTGCATTATGTAGGGGAATTATGTAGGGAAACAGCAAATTTAACATCATCTGAAAAAGACATATTCATGACAAAAGTGTGTTTAGTATTTGAAGGAAGAAATTAATATATGGAAACGAATATTTGTTAAAAATTTTAGGGGTAAAATTAAATATATTTAATAGTCTTCAGTGTCACATGATCCTTCAGAAATGCTTCTAATATGTTGATTTGCTGCTCAAGAAATTATTGTCGACTTAACATTTTTGTGAAAAGTGAAAATTTTGATTATTTTTTACTTTTTAGAATACATTGATGAATGGAATGTTTAGAACAGAATTTGAAATATCATGTAATCTTTGTCCATTTTGATCAAGTAATCCTTGCTGAATAAAAGTATCAATTTCATTAAAAAAAACAACTAACTTTCTGACAGTAGTGTGTATGTATATAAAAATTTTAAACAAACTTAAAATGTATCACTTCACAACAATTTCTTCAAGAAGAGATTTCTTTGATCCTTCAGCTTCAAGAAGGAATCGGATAATCTGCTCTGTGTGAATTGAAATACTGTTAGAAATTACAAAGATTTAAGATTTAAACTAAAGAAACATTCACTAAAAGGATTTCCGGTTATAATGTCAAATCCAATACAACTGACAACTGTGATACACAACAGCACATTTTCATACCCCTCCACAAGATGGCAGCATTTCATTACATATAGAGATGGTGTACATGTGAGACCATGTTTTCAATGATGAGATGAAGCCCATGAAGATAAACTAGAAGTAAGCTAAAAAAAAAATTAGGCTAAAACAGATATACAGTTATTTTTTATTTGTTTTATTAAAAAAGATTTACTTTTACAAACAAATATATGTAAGGATTCGGAGAGTTGTGTGATTGTGCTTGTGTGTACTGGTGTACATGAGCCTAGGCAAACCAGGCCAATTTTGATTTAAAACTAATTACCTGGAAATCTTACCTGATGAAACAAATCAATTTGAATGATCCAAACAATGACTGTTTAGCCACGCCATCACTCTCACTGTCTGTAATTTAGTTTATGCTGAAATGCCTTCAATTGCTAATGTTCTTTGACCTTTGAGATTCCATGCTTCTCTCTTTGTGAGTCCACAGGCCACATCCTGGTTGTCTACTTAAACGCATCTTCTCATGCCTCATGCTTTAGTTTCAGACATGAAGCAGCTGCCCAGTGAGAGCAGCGTTTCTGTCTCTGATGAGAGCGACAGTGATTTGAGTGAGTCTCTCCACAGATCTCTCCCACTGCTCTGGCACCTGAAGGAACACACACACATGCATATATATATATAAACACACTTGAATACACAAACAGATCAAATGTGAGTGGACCTGTGCTTCTTTCCCAGTTATCTCATCAGCAGACATAACAGTCTTGACAACTTACTGGCCGTGATATTTGGCAGCCCAAGAAGAAAAAAAAAGCAGGCCCATTATTGTGCTCACAGGGTTTCAGGTTTTGTTTTCTTTTGTTTAAGGTTTTGGAGTCTGTTCTCTTAATATAAAATCTTGGTTTTCTTTAACAACTTCCTTTCAGGTTTGTTTCAGATTACCTTAAAAGTGATGTGTAATTTCTAACACATTAATTAAGAAAAATCTATTTATCTTAAATTGTGCTATATATATTTTATTTATTATTAATTTTACTGAATAAATAATATAATTAAATCTTGGTTTTATCAAAATCTGTTCAGGAATGTTTCATATTAACGTAAAAGTGATGTGTAATTTCTAACATAATTTAGAAAAAGCTTTCCTTAACAAAACTCAATTTAACTTAAAATGTGCCACTTGTGGTGTGTGTATGTGTCTGTCTGTCTGTCTGTCTGTCTATCTATCTATCTATCTATCGACTTTCAACTTAATGATTTTCACAGCTGTTACTACTTTTTCACAGTAGCCGTTTTCTACCACGCTCACTTCCAAATTTCTCAAATCCATGGATTAAACTCACGACACATATTTTCCACAGTTAACTCCTCAGGATTCAATTTGTAAGCAGGCGGATGAAATAAACTAAAATCTAGTGATTAAGAAAATTTGAGGGGGGGGGGGGGGGGAAACCCTAGATCACGACTAATGGCTGTACTGCAGCGGCTCCTGAGCTTCAGCAGTTCTGCAATGTACAGTGTTTTTTAATCTTCATTTGGAGGCAATTTAGAATAGAAAAGAACAAAAAAAAGTAGTGAAACGAAGAGGAGACTCCCTGTTTTTCCATTGTGTAATAGAGTCACTGTTCCCTTACTTAATTATGGGTACAAAACTCTCGGTAAGGAGCCAAAACATCTGCAAGCGGTCAATTGAACTCCTCCTACCCTTCAGCTAATGACAGCTACTTCACAGACAAATTTCACACACAACTCAAATATAGCAAGAACGTTTATGGCACAAATTCCTATATATCAACGTATCATCAGATATCACGCTGTAATAAGGTCTAAACCAATGAAGAATGACCTCCGTGTATTTGTTTAGTCAGGAAATTAAGAACAAATGGCCCCAACTTGATTGCCACCCACATATAAAACTCGGGTTCATGGAAAATATGTTTGTGGAATATTTACAAACGTAGAAAGACGAAAAGCTTGTCTACTTGACCACAGCTAATGACAACATTACTCATGTGGCCTGTTTTGTTATTGGTGTGACACGACAGTCCTACTGGGAAAATAATATATGGGCATTTTTCTTTTCTCTACAGAAGATCACCAACGAGGATCAAAAGTTTAAGCCTGCCTAAGTCTCATGTTTCCAATGAGTAGCAAAATATGACTCACATGTAATAAGAAAGCAGCGGATCAACAACTTGAGCTGCCATGACATATTGAAAAATCACAGTGACACATGTGGGGAAAAACAAGATAATAATACAGTGGAGTTTGAGTCAACACACTAAATGAACATTTATCTTACTCTAAAGTCTGTTGTGGTCTTCCATCAAATCCATAAAAAGGATAAAAATGCTAAACTCAATCTATTTTAAATTCAAATCTAGTGGGTAAAAATATAATGCATTAATTTAGCCAGGGCCGGATTTAGCTCTTTTCGTGACATAGGCAAAACTAATTTTTGGGCCCCCCTTCCCTATTAATATAATAGGCCTAATATTACCACCCAAGCAAACAAAAATATTTCTTAATCAGTGGAAACCGTTACAGTGTTTTCTATCGCAATAAGCGCTTGCGTTCAGTCAATAAAAATCGAATAGTTCTTAATTAGTTTGAAAACTGAGAGACCATTCCATTAATAGGCGCGGCGACGCGGCCACATAACTTCGGGAGTGCATTATTTCTTCTCTAATAATTTTAACGGCCTGGAGTCACAATCACACATCAATTGTTCAGATTATTTGTTTCAAGACATCTGACATGTTTCTATCCTGAAATCTTGTGTGTGTTGAACAAGCTAATTTTTTAAGCACCTCAACCAGAGAGAGGGAGAGAGAGAGGGAGAGAGAGATTAAGTGAGTGTGAATACTTGCGTCTGTGCGTCTCTCAGCAGTATTCAGCAGCAGGGTCTACTAATAGCGAATCTTTAAGTTGAACTGCTTCAAGAACCTCGCTACTGAGAAATGCGAAACTATTTTATTGATAAATTCAATACAACAAGTTTCTGTCCGCGTCTCCGCGCGTCTGTACTGCGTGCGCGAAAACGGGAGAAAGAAAGCGTGATTTCCGTACATAAAAAAGGTTGAAGACATGGAAATAGTTTGTCATTTTACCCTATTGTTTGTTATATTTATTTGCTCAATGTCTTCTGGGGTTTTTGGTTCTTTTACTGTTGTAGATATCCCATAGTATAACAAAAATATTATATATCTCTTCATTGTGTTTGGGCCCCCCCTGGACGAGCAAGCATAGGCACGTGCCTAGAATGCCTATGCGTAAATTCGGCCCTGAATTTAGGGACATCACACTGGAGTAAACTGGGGTCAAGTGACTTATTCAATGGTTGAAAATATGCATTAAAATGTTATATCCGCAATGTATGTTCTTACATTTTTTATTTTGATGATTACCTGTCCCTGTGGTCCAAGGAAGTTGGTCAAAGTAAAAAAAAATTGTGGTACACTTCACTTGTGGAAAAAAGACCTTGTGTTTAAAGAGTTACAATGCTAAATATAGATATGTTAAATGATTGAATCTGAAGGTAATCACTATGATTTGTCATAATATTACATCACTTTTCCATTCCTGGAACGGGGTGAAGAAAATACAGGGAGCTTTTGTTTCCATACCTGTGAATACTGCTCTATTTCCAACAAGTCAGAGGGAGCGATTTCTATGTTTGTACTTGACCTGGCGACAGATATGTTCCTAAACAATGATAGACCGCAATGCTTTCTTACACTGACAGATCTGTTGAAAATGGCGAAATCATGATACCCCAAGGCCCACATCCAGAAACCAAACATTCGCTGTTAACAACAAAACCTCTTGAGTTCCCCTCATTACAATTGTGACATACACAGAAAGGTCTAGCGAGGGATCAACCTGGGTCATGTATGTTATTTCCTTTAGCGACAAAACAGTATTTCAGTTTCCACATCCTTATTTTCCATCTCTACGCTCACCCATCACCAAGTGCCCGCACCTTGTCTTGATGCATTAGGAACAAGCCTTATCACGTAAATATTTCACCTTTCCCTCAAACAAAAGACTGTCAGCATTTGTTACCAAGCTGTCCAAACAAGAATTACCATAGACTAAACAGTCATCATTTGCTGAAGAATAAAAGTGAACGTGTGAGAGACTGCGAAATTGCTTAGCTGAAAACAAACCACCCTCCAATGGAGGTCTCCTGCATTGTTTATACAGATGCAACATAAATACTCCTCTGCCCACATACAAAAAATAAATAAATAAAAAAAGTTGTGCCCTCTTCGCATCATGAACTACTCCTAAATAGCCAGATAATGCATTTCATACAAGGAACTTGATGCGTTTTTTTTCTTTTCCTGTAATTGGATGTTAATTGTGCAAAACTCAATTTTAAGCATTTCAAAGTCTTAAGAATGTATTCAAATATTTTCTATTTTTTATTATAAAGTCTGGGGGTTATATATATATATATATATATATAAACCTTTTTTTATTTTATATATATATATATAT